CTTAGATTTATATGTAATTAGTAGAATGTTGTGCACAAATATACATGAGTAAAAAATAACATATTTTTTGGATTCATCATCATCAAGTTAAAATAAAAAAAAAAAATCAACAAGCTTAATCTAGATTTAAGCATGTTTATTACGGGGTCAGAAGCAAATAACTACACTCTAACACCATTGTAAGTAATTAGTACTAACTTAGTAAAAGTGATAGATGCTCACTTACTGCCCACAAAGAATGATTCTCTATTGTTGAAACTCTTGACTGCCTCTATCTTCTTCTAGATGCTATTAAAATATCATATAATATTCACACCTCAAAACTTAAGTCTATTGATGACCTAACTTAACATAAGAGATTAAATGATAATATTGTGTTTTACTGGGTGCAATCCTCTTATTGATAAACAAAAGCGATTTTTTCTCTTATCACAAAGAGCTGTTATATCACTGATGACATCCATGAAAAATAGGAAGTTGAGTAGGAAGTGGAACTGCGCACAACTCCCTTTGTGGCTGTTGTGGGTGTTCCTAATATTATACAATAATGTGTTTATCTAAATTAAATGAAGTTATATGCTCCAGTTAAATGCCTATAAGAAGGGTACGGTGACATAAAAATCTTGTAATTAGTGTTTATGTTAATCTTATATATTAACTAATGACATTATTAATTTTAAAGTACTGAATTTGATTAAAGATTTTAATTATGTATGGACTATGTAGACCAAATTACATAATTTAGAAGTTTAGTTAATAACTTGGAACTTTGGTAACCAACCAAGGAATTTAATTATCGATTATGTAGTTAAACATTATGAATTAATTCAAGCTAAAATAGCGATTACTCGATGTTTTAATTAATGGATCAAAATAATCTAAGTTGGACTTAACCATATAGTATGTTTTATTAATTTAACAAATGGTACTTAAGATATATTTTAGTATCCCCTGACTTCTTCATCTAGCAATGGCATGTTACTCATCAAAACGCCTCATAAACACCTAGATAAAATACTTTCTTTATCAATTCGTTTTCTTATAACCTTTTTTCTTTGGTAGAACGTAAAGTTAGATGTTTCAAACATCATTTGATCCTTTTCTCTATGGGTGAAGAGATTATGAGATAACCAATTACCTTAAGCAACAAAGTATTTATAACCTTATTGACAGAAGCATTAATGTATTCATCGCAATAGTGACAATATCTTGCCAAAATAATCTTGGGAACACTAGGCATTCATTGGTAATAGGATACTTTGCCAACAAGAAATTTATTGAAGGTTGGGAATCTTAGCTTCCACTAATTTAATGTTTACCATTTGGTGGTATATGAAGATTTATTTAGTTATCTATGACATTATTATACAATTCTTGAAATATTTTAAGTTTCTATATTTTTTCTTTAAAAATTATATATAAACCGTTATAAATATTGATTAATGAACTATAGTTGAAATCGAATTATAATTTATTAAGATGACTATAATATATTTCTTTATTCTATTTGGTTGAAAAAAGTGAATTTAATGTATTTTTGCAATCATTTTGACAAAAGAAAATTAACAATTTCAAATTAGTGAAATAATTTTATGACAGTAATGAAAACTTTAAATATATGATAAATATTTAAAATATTATTCTTAGATGAAACAGTGAATTAACTAATCTGAAAATAAAAAATATTATTTTAGATAAAACAGTGAATGAACTAATTTTATATTTTTTTTTAATAATTTTTTTTATATATGAGAATATATTTATTATTCATTGTAAAGTTGATGGTATAATTAAAAAGAACCAAAATATATAGTTATAAAATAAACTGTGATAATAGTTTATGAACCTTTATATAAATTTAATTACTTGATATCTTATAATTATAATTTTGTTAAAATTGTCATACGGTCAACTAAATCTAAGTAACAACTATGCTTCATAATAATTCATCAAAGAAAAAAACCAAGCGTTATAATGGTTACTATTATAATGACAATTAGTTTTGGATCCTGTTCCATATACTTATTATAATCTGGTTAAATGAACAAATCAACTTTATTATTATATTACTAATATAATCTAATAATAACACTCATAAAAATAATTCCTAATATAATAACAATTACATTTCAATCATATTATATCAATTTATTATAATTTCAGTAACCATAGACTTTGTTATTATATTACTAATATAATTTTTATGATTGTTTTTATTTAAAAAAATTAAGACTTCATTGGGTAAATAAAAATATTTTAAATTTGTATATTTTACTTTTAAATTTATGTAATTCTTTAATATTAAGAGACAGATGAATTAAAATTTAAAATATTATTTTAATAGTTATAAAATAATTTACTTATATTATCATTTTTATGTATTTTTATAAATAAATAAATAATAAATACATAGAAACTGAAAAAAACGAGTCTGACATTTTTTTTTTATTTACATGTAAAATATAAAATCGTAAATATCACTTAAAACAAAATAAAACGTCATAAATTTTGATTCGGATCCTCGGGTCAGATCAGAACCAGCGTGATTTCTTACGAAAGGACAAAAAAGGTCCATGCGCGATTCTCCTGCTTCCCTCTCTCGTCCTCTGTGTTTTTCCTTACCTCGAGAGCGCACCTTCGAATCCGCTGAAGAAACCAACTTCTCCTCTATCGGAAACATCTTTCTATCCGCTTCTGGTCGCCGGAAAGACAGTCTACAGATCAAAGAAAACAAATTAGTTTACAGAGAAAGTGAAAGCTGTAAACAGCGGA